CAGCAGGAGCTGGTTTTGTTTTGCAAGGGGTGAGTAACACAGCCCGGGTGCTGAGAGAGGTTGGTTGTGCCTCAAATAAATTAAAAAATGCATTGAAGGTGATGAGAAGAGTCAGCAGCAGAGGTGAGGAAACGTGCTGCCCTCGGGCACCCAGCCAGCCGGGGACTCCTGGGAGCACTTTGTGTTGTCACTGGTTAAGGAGCTGCTCCCCAGCCCATGGCCAGGGCTGCAGCCACGGATGTGCTAGGTGGGAGCAGGGAACCTCTTTCTGCAGGGAGTGCTGGCACACGGCCACTGTCCCCGCTGCCCTGGCTGCCTGTCCCCTGCCTGCCAGCCCTGCCTGTGAGCCCACCCCGAGCTCTCCCTCCTCCCGCCGCTCTCCAGACACAGACGCTGCTATTTTTAGCAGTCACTCCCAGACGTGGGATGTGCCTCTGCCTTTTCCCGGCGCTGGTGCAGCAGCCTCCTCCCTCCCGAGGCCATGGGGCACTTCCCAAAGAGCCAGAGGGGCCTGCAGGAGCTGGGGGGGCAGGTGATGGCAGATTCCTACCACCTGCCATCTGAGCTGTGGTACCACTGAGCCCAAGCATTAAGAATACTGAGGGTTTTGGCCTCGGTGCCATGTCCCAGCTCCAGCAGAGGTGGCACTGAGACCAGTGCAAGCTCTGTGGCAGGGAGCACGGACGCAGCCATGGGTGCTGGGACACAGGTGGCCCTTGTCCCCACTGTCCCTGTGTGCCATCGTTACCCCCTGCCACAGCACAGCCCTGATTAGCCTGTGACAACGTTGCAGTCGTGGCACTTGCTTCTGTCCCTTGGTCATTTCCATGTAGCCACTTTACCCAGCAGCTTCCCTGTGCCAGGAGGGGTCACCAGTACTTCTAGGGTGTACGAGCATCCTCCCCGGGATGGTTTTGCCCACCTGTGATGCCTGCAGGTGCAGATGGTTGGGGCAGGGCAGGGTTTGGGCACAAGAGCCAAGTAATAACTGAGCAGCCCCGAGGGCCGTGACGCTGGGCAGGGCACCGCTCCTGCTTCACTTCCTGCTCCTGCTGTGCAAAACACCCCCCGGCCCTGACATCTGCAGGGTTTGCAAAACGCTGCAAACAAGCAAAGAAAAGTCAGGGCAGACAGAGAGGAGAGGACAACGTTTCCAGCTTGGGTACACGCTTCTAGGAGGGCAGGGCTGCTCAGCCCCTCCCCACCCCGTGCTCCATCCCCAGCACACCAGGGAATCACAAGCACTCGGTGCCTCTGCTGGCTACTCCTCGTGTTGCAGAAATTGTGCGTTTTACAGTAAATTCACTCGTGCAAAACCGGTGACTGACTTGGCTGGGTTGTGTGTTGGTGGCTGAGCTCCAGGATAGATGCAGATAAGGGGGCTGATTTCCCACCAGAGGACATGAAAGCGAAGGACTGCTGCCATCTCCTGGCTCTCAGGCCATGGCCACCCTGAGACCGGCCAGGGGACGAGGATGTGACCCTGGCAGGGCTGGGGCTTCAGGCTGTGATGGGCGTGGGGACACAGCGTGGTCCAGCCACTGATGCAGCAACAGGTCCCTGCTTCACTTACCAATGCCCTTGCCAGCTGCTTTGCTCCCTGCTAGCTAAAACATACTGGGGTCCAGAAATCACCTAAAGGAGACAGGAAAAGACAAAATCTGCAAAACCCTTCAGTCCTTTATTACTCTGGGAAAACCCCAGATCAGCTTCTTCATCTTTAGTTTGGTGTGAGATTATGTCACATGGAGAGCAGGTGATACTGAGTATGTTTGAATCTACATTCACCAAGACCTCCCTGCTTCTTGGCAGCCCAGGCAGCAGCACTGCAGCCCCTGCACAAAATCCAGATCAATTTAATTCACCCCAGGCACCGTGGCCAGGCCAGGCAGCAGGTCTAATGTCTCTCCATAACCCAAGGAGTCTCCCACCTGCCAGTCTGGGCCAGTCCTGGCCTCAGCACAGCTGGGACTGGCTTAATCAGTGTTCCCAGCTGGGAATAGGACCACCAGCTGCCACCCATTACCTGAAGACCAAACCCCCCTTTTTCGCTGTAAGGGCAGCTCTGTAGTGGTTGCTGGTGGAGTAAGCTCTGAGGAGGAAGAAGATGGTTGCTTTGCCCCTCAGGGCTGAGGTAGGATCTGTGCTTGTTGCTTCTGTTGGGCTGGGCTTGGGAGGTGGTTGCTGGTTGTGAGAACTGGTTTCTTTAGCTTTTGGTGGTGCTGCTGCTGGGTCCCCAGCTCTGAGCTGGCTGGGAAGGGGGCTGTGGGCTGTGGTGTTGTGTGGCTGCTTGGTAGGAGCCTGGTCCTGGTGCAGGGACAGGCCAGGGCTGCCTGGGTTTGGGTTTGGTGCCTGGGCAGGTGTGTTCTGGCCTCTGTGCTTCCTGCTGGTGCTGGCAGAGCAGGAGCACTGGAGCCTTTTATCAGGGGTGGCTTCTCTTTCAAATAGTCCTTGTTTACACTTGTACAAATCCACAGATGACGCTAAGTTAGGATGGGGCTGCTTGTACTTGTGGAAAGAGGAGTGGAGTCTGATATTGGTCTCATAAAATAAGAAATTATCTAAAGTAACTGCAAGGCAAGTCAATAAGGAGACAAATAATTTTCCTTTTATAAGCATTTTACTTTAAGTGAAGAAATCCAGACTGTGAAATGATAGTCACAGAAGTCTATGTATTGATAAATGAACAGAAAATTGGTCACTGAAATAATGGCTAAAAGTTCTTCTGTTGGTTCCAAAATAAGGAAGTTAGTGCATATTTTGAGAGAAGACAGAGCTGCCTTAACTCCAAGTTTTGACAAATGTCATATTTCCTTAATTTTTAGAATGGCTGTTTTTAAATTAAACCATCCAAATTTTCTTCCATTTAATTGCTTCAAAGTGATTTCATTAGTTCTAGCTATATCAGTTAATTGCTTCAATTTAATGTGTACAATTATCTCCGGCAAATGTTTCTCATTAGCTCTCTGAGCACTCTCGCTAATTGCCAGCAGAGGGCAGGAAACCATCAATTTACCTTGATGGAAGTTGCCAAAGGGCCGAGCTGGCGGCACAGACCTCTTTTACATTTCACAGGTGACCTGTTTCACCAGAATAAAGATAGAAACTGGAGGGTATTTCATAGGTCAGCAGGACTAGGGCATAACACTAAGCCCAGCGTAATAGCATTGAGACCAATGTTCACCTCCCAGTGACAAGAGAAGCTCCCAGAGAACTTCCAAGCCAGCTCCTTGGCCTAAAATGCTGAAGATGAGAAGCCAAGTCAGACAAATGGGTGACTAAAATGTAATTCGGTTTATTGTTGTCTAGAAGGGGGAAGAGTCTGATTTTTCCATACAGTTCCTCACCTGAAGATAAAGCAAGCATGGGCTGGTTTTGGTCAGCACCAGAAGCTGAGCTCATGGTCCCTTCAAGCCTCTCACCAGTGCCTGTTTGGGCTGTGAGCAGCAAAAGAAAGAAGGGGGAAAAGAGAAGGGAGTCCTGGATCAAGATGTTATTTTTGGAAATGAAAAAAAGCTCAGACAACACAGGTTTAGGATTCTAAATACATTCTTGAACTTTTATTCCTCCCAGCAGATAAGCAGTTGATTAAAAACCTTAGCAGCAACACCAGCCCAAAAATATAAGTCTCACACTTTTAGAAACAAACGTGTGCACTTGCATGGCAGATTCAGGTGCAGGACTAGAATTCACATTTCAACAGTGAATATGGAAATGACTAATGAGGAATTTGGGCTGGCAGTGAGAGCAAACTGCTGCATGAGTAACCATGGAAAACATGCAACAAACACTGCCTGTCGAGGTGTGTTTAGTTTTGAGCAAATGGTTGAGGCTGTGTAGAAAAAGTGAAATGATGCTGCTGATTTTGAAACAGTGTAAGCTGGTGAGAAACATCACAGTATCAAACAGGACAGTTAATGAAAGCTGTTTGGCACTTCCCAACTGAGGCTGCTTCAGCAATGTGCAGCATTAACCTTTCTGTACCTGTATTTTGTAGACTCTTCTTCCTCATGTACACAATTAGTTCAGCAAGCAGATGATATGAAAAAAGATTTTGCTTCCACTACAACTTAAATATTCCACTAGTGAATTCTGGAGTGTTAGGGACACTTCATAAATTAGGCAAAACAAAAGCTGCTGTTTTCTAAGATTTGAAGCTAAAGTGCCAGCAAGGAGCAACTGCCAAGTACAGAAACCCAACTGCAACTGGCTTTAGCCAAAGAAAAAAACACGTTAAAACTAGAATTTCAAATGCAGTTCTGTAGTGTGTCATACAACCCCCCACTTCCCCAAACCATGCTATAATCAGTACTATGGGTTAGATAATTCAGTATAAAAAAGAAAAAAATCCCATAAAATAGAAATTGAGTATTTCTTAAATGACAAACCCACTAGTTTTCAGAGGTGCTTCCTTGTATGGGCAACACCTGCTTTTTGTCAAGGTATGCATCTTCCCTGGATTCATAATGTGCAAATCCCATTAATTATAGATTTATTCCAGTCAGATTCCCATACTAGTGCTGAAACAAATTCACAGTGTAAGCTGTCAAGCTTCTCCATGCTGTGAATGAATATATATATATATTTTTTTTTTTTTAAAGTAAAGTGCAATTCATCCCAGTCTGCAGAGTCACACAGTGGCTCTGTGCTTCAGCAGATGTTTACAGCAAATTTCACAATAGGAAGAAGACCTCCCTATTAAACAATGTCACTGTTTCAGGGAAGATGCTTCTGCTTTTCAATAGGCTGCATGAAATTTGCTGTGCTGTAAAATCTGAACCAAAGGTTCTTTACCCAGCCCAGTGTCTGACACTCGGGGGTTTCCACCACTCACTAGTAACACTAAGCACAGATCTGAGGTTTTATACCTAAACATGTAGCATGAGACATGCCTGAAATCACAAAGGTCATTCTTAGCTTTCCAGCTTTTCTGCAGTCAGACTCTTGATATTTAAATGCTCTTTCAAATGCTCTGAGCAGCTCATTGCACTCCTGCTCTGCTATAGCAGCTCCTGCTCATCATCTTCAGACCCCGAGGGTCCCTGTCGTACCTCCTCGTACCATTTGTTTGTCAGGGTTTTCATCTGGATGCGCCCGTGGTGCAAATCCTGAGGGAAAACCAAACCAGAGCAGTTTGTTACTCAGCTACAACACCCCTTGTGTGCCAGAGCAAAAGACAGACTAGTTTAACAGAGCCCTAAGAATATAACCCTGGTCCCCAGGCATGCAAAACAATTCTGTTCCCTATGAGAAATTATTTATCAAGTGTCCAGCCAGTAATTATGTCCAAGAATGGTATTTGTGATGACAGGTATTTTTACCTGTGTTTTCTAGACAATCCTGCTCTGTGGGTTGCAACAATCCTAATGCTGTCTTGATGGCCTGATCCTGAATCTCACTGCTCCCAAGGTGTTCCCAGGGTCAGGGGGAAGCTTGTGGCCTGCTTTGATAACTCGCTTCTTTTTCTACCCTTGGTTGCAACCTAGATGGCAGCCCTTGCTTTTTTGGCTACCAACTACAAATCTCATGCTTATTCTGGTTTCTTAATTCCTTTTTGGTTTTGCAAAAAATGCCTTCAGTGGGCAAGTGCTGAAAGCATTCCTTTGAAAAGAAAGGTATAAAAAAAAAAGAGGGAAATATACTGTACTTGTGCAGGCTAGGAAGATGGAATGTGCACACTTGACACAAAATGATCAACTGTGCAGCAAAAATGCTTAATTCTGCAGCAAATTAGAGAAAGTGAATTCCACAGCCAAGGAGTCCTGGGTTTCTGAGGCATGAGAATGAAAATGGCACAGCATTTACACCTCTTGGAGCCACTCATGTTAAGTTACGTGTTCGGTCGTGTCATTTTGCTTTTACAGCTTCAAAGTCTAAATTTCCCAGTGAAGAAGACTTAAAAGGGAAGGCTGCAATTCTGGTGTGTATTTCCAAGATAAAAACTGCTTTCTGCAGAAAATTCCCAACTCCAGAACTCACAGGACCGTACACAGTAAAAGGCAGCAACTGTGTGACAGCACTTTAAAAACTCCCCATGAGTGCGAGCAGCTTTTTCTAGTAACAGCAGTAACTAGTAACTCCTGATACTCCTCATGGTAGTCTGCAAGATTAAAGGAGAGTTCAGTAAATCCATACACCTTTTACAGTGTAATAGTGGTAGCCCTGAGCTCACTTAATACAACCTGCAATTTTGCAGTGCAGCTTTTCATTACAGCTGCTCTACATGTGCACAGGTAGTAGACAGATGGCTCACTGTTCCTCAAGTAAAAGTTGCACAGCTACACTAAGCCTTGAAGGGTACAGACTGAAATGACAACCAGCTCCATCACAGTTTTTCTTCAAGAAAACAAGACTTACTTCTTGCGTGAGTCTTCTGGTGAAGAAAGGATTCAAATACTTGGCATCGAGCCACATAAACCCTTTCAGGTCCTGGCGTTTTATGTACTGGGCTTCATACTCCTCCTCTGTGAGCTCTGATAAATGTTCAGATTCTATGGTATTTCCCTAGAAAGATCACAAATATTGGAACAACCTGAGAAATGTGGCAGGCATCCCTCCAGCTTGTTGCAGCCCCCTGCTCTGTGTTCTCCCTTCTCACAACCAATTCACACGCTGGAACAAGACAGAAATTTTCACTCCAGCCTACCAGGGCTTTATGTCTGTATGAATCTGTCCATTCCCAGAGCTACTTTCCTTCCCTTTTCC